GGCCGAATACGAATGCATTTCGTGCAACGTTTACTGCCATTAAACAAGGTATGTCATAGTCATGATATTCTCTGATTAATTTGATTTACCAATTCCTTCATTTATACTACGGGTGGTTAGTTCCAGAGAAGCTGCTCCAAGGAAATGGCACATTCAACATTTCATTGACAAAACAAGATATTCGCGGAAACCTTTTCGACATCAAGTGTTTGTGGAACCTCACTGCGCCATCTAAAACCTTCATCAACCTGTCTATAGAATTGACTTCACCCGTTAGGCAAGGATGTTACCTGCAGGAGCGTCTAGAAGTTATCGATGGACCACAATTGGGTGGACCCCTATTGACATCAAGGAACCGGCATTCTCTCAAAGCAAGAGCGGTTACATCTAGTGGACAGCATCTTTTGTTGAGGCTTCTTCCTAATCAACAAGGAACAAGTTGCCTGTTTCAAATACATTTTAGAATATGGCGCAACATAAGTGCACGTGAGTATCAATCAATCATCAACTGAAACATCATCATGGAATCATATCCACAACGCAAAGACTTCTTTTTTAGTGTGGACCCTTTAAACAGTGGGGTATGGCTGAGCTTGCATTTAATTAGGCAATTTRTCGTTGTACTTAATAAGTTAATTTTATTCAAGTGATCATTATATAATTAACAATGCACTTTTTATACTCAAACTTAGCGTTACAACAACAAACAACTCCGACTTTGAGTTTGAGTTTCAACATTAGCAATTTAACGTCGCCGACGGAAGGTAATATTGCACATTCCCRTGGGACAGCGGCATCTGCAGGGATTAAAGTTGGAATAGGATTTGCTCCTATACTTTTTGTATTGATACTCTTTTCTGTCATCTTATTTTGGAAGAAGAAACAAAGAAGTAAATTTGAAAGGTATTTGATGACCATCATTTGATTATTTATAAATGCTTRGAATTTGTGACTTGCTTGAATGACCGAATACTCCAGTTTAAAATTCTATTTTGTGCAAGCTTAGCTCCAATCAAGCATAATTTGTCTTCTTTGCGCAGAGCATAGTTTTAACAATGCGCAGAGTGTTTGCATTATACAATAGATTCTCTGCTGAATAAAAGAATATATTACAGGCTTTTTCGAGGTAAAGGCTGCACAAATAAGATCTCGAAACTGGATTATTGTCTTGCTGTTTCGACACAGATAGASCCATTTTAATATCAGTCTGTGAAAAACTTACTACTAGTCCATGAGTGTTTAATAGGAACTATTAGGGTGTA